AAATTTTAGCAAACACGAAGCATACTAAATAGGTTGCATATTCTTCTCATTTATAAACAAAATTTCCTCTATATTCTGACAGAATTGGTTCATGAGTGTAGGCATGAAACAGTTCTACTTCACATATTAATTTTAGCATTTACTTTGAGTTTTCTTCTGAGATACTCACATCACTGCTACTGAATTACCATTACCTCATTTTGCATATATTTTGAAAGAATTTACAGGTGCTAGAAGTTATACGTATACAAGTTTGAGATCATGACACAACATTCAACTTTCAGCAGAAAGTAACACACATTAAGAATTCATTAGCAATTTCTTTTAAAAAGGATTGCAGTTGATGTTGGGTTGGCATTACAAGAGTGCTATCAACAGATGAGGCCGATACCAAAGAAGAATTTAAAAAAAAAAAAAAACAGTAACAATAGTGTGTGGCCACCTTCCTGGAGAACTCTGCTTTCCAAAACGCAAGAGCATCATCCAAATTGAGTCCAACACCCTAAAAATGCATACACAAAAATCATCAGTGACATCATTAAACTTGAGTCCAAATTGCAGTATGACACGTGTACGAATGTTCAGCCAGCAAAAGAGAACAAACAGTATAAAAGTTATTTTAGAAAAGACAACAGTTAATTCCATTTGAACTTTTTCAAGTTCATGGCAATTTAAGAGGACAGGTGAAACCTTCTCAGGAAGTACATATAACAGAAATCAAAATAAGTTCGAGAAATAACCTTTAGAAAGAGACCCAGTTGCATTCGTCCTCCGTGCTTCAAGTGATGATCCTCCCTAAGCTGCACGAGAAGTATTGGGACAGGTTTTCACAATCCAGCTAGAAAGAAGATCAAGAAACCATAATTCCATAGACCAATTTGTTACCTTCTCAAACAAATGACGCATGCAGAGAGGAAATGAACTTTTGGCAACTTGATCAATGTCCTTCAATGATATCTCTGCAGAATCACTTGGCTGCAATATAACTTCATAAGTCAACCAACCAATTTGAAAATCAAGCACACTGAAATAGAAAATTAGATGGTTTTTCCAAATTACCTGGCTATAGTCCGGACCTAAATAACTTGTTGCTAGGCCTTCAACGATCTATCAAAGCAAAGAAGTTCAGATGCATCAAGAATTTGAATGGTGATACTGAAGCATAAGTCTGGATACTTACAGGAGTCAACCGATCCTTCTCTTGCTCTCTGATCATAGACGTCCATTTTCTGACAGCATATAATGCAGGTTTTCACATTTTAGAGGTAAAGTTTTTGCGGTGGGATTGCTTGTATGATAACAGATAAATACTCTTGCTAGATAGGATGAAAATGTCTAGTACTGCAAATTTAAAATTCTTCAAGAAAATCATTTAATGAAACAAGTGTTTTCGCAACAGACAAGGGTTCGGTTTGAAGTTCTGACAAACAAAAATTTGGTAGCGTAAACATCAAGCAAGAAAAAAATTGTTCGACCCATGACTCTGCTCAGGCATCAAATTCCGAGCAAGTGTAGCTTGTTATCTCATCCAAACAAGAATATTATCATCAGATAATAGGTCATAGGTCCAGCAAATTATGTCCGAAAACATGAAATGTAATCCAAGCTGTTGACAAGCTGAGACTATCACAAAATGTGAAATGATAGAAGCATCAGAATTGAGAAGAACCTATTTGTCAACACAAGTGCTTTTGAAAGATAACTGCGATATTGAGTGACAAGTAGGGAAACCACCTGCAAAGCAAACAGAGATTCTGTCATGAAACAGGACAATAATTTCAGATCTGTACACAAAGTAGTCAAAAGCATATTCACCTGGCTCATAGCTACATATGCGTACCCTTTCAGTATAAATACTCGGCGACTTGCCACTAGATCAGGAACTTGTTCAAATGGCACCTTCATTTTACAGAAAGGTAGAATAAGGTTCAATATATCCAGTTAATGATATCAATCTCAGTTGAAAATATACAATTCAGCATTTCTCCACAAAAACTAATTTATGGAAGGCAAGTGATATTTTCCAAAAAAAACAGATAACCAATAGCTGCAAATTATGAGTATTTAGAGTTTACAAGTATTTAATAATATAGAATCCTTTACTGAATATGGAAGTTGGAACTTCAATTTCACTTTGATAAGCAGGATAGAGCTGTCTGTTTCCCCAGGTATCTGTGGTGAATAGCGATGGATGAGAAAACAGACATGTAGTGATTACCTTGTAGTATGTATTGTCAGCTGCAATAATGAGAAAATAAAACAAAACTTAATACAAGAAACAAGTAAGAACTTCAATGCCTGCTTTTCTCAGGATAAATCACAAACGTACCGCTTGGTCCACCTGGGCCAATAGTCCGCATGACTTGGTTCAGTTTATCTTTTACACTCTGAAAACAAATCACATAAACACTTACTTCATGGAAGTAAAACAGTTGATAATTTATGTATCAAAATGGAAACTTATAATACAGTTAGAACTGTGTCAAAAAGATAAAACAGGCATCACAGTCCGAGAAGGTTTTCAAAGAAAACTTTAACAAAATTACCTCATATTCGGCACTGTTTACGGCTTTGTAAGGCAGGTCAAACTCCGCCATTATTTCCCTCTACACAGAGAACCCATTTAGATGAGATCAGTCGCTAAATCTAATAATTTTATGGAAAGTAGCTTGGAAAATTGGTGGATCGGTACAAATAGCAATATCACACCTGGACATCAGGAGCTTGGAATTGAAACCGGTAGCGAAACAGTGTAGTCTCCATGGAGAGAAACCATTTTCTTAATTCCTCCCTGCCATATATTAATGATATTTGCAGGTAAATGGCAAAAACAAAAACTGCATTTACAAAGTTAGGGCACAGAGTATACGAGGATATTACAAGGGAGGAAGCTTACTGCCTACAGTAGACCAGGCGCAAAACAAAATGGGAAATGATGTCCTTGTTGTTGACATCAGGTACTTCTGAATGCAGCATGTTAGCCTTCAACAATAACCCCCTTACCTGTACAAGAAACCGTCATCTGAAACCATTAATCCAAGCAAGAAAAATCATTCATCACCTGCTATGTGTAAGCATTATAGGAAATAGAAGAACATAAGTTGCAGTATTACAATTTGCTCCATCTCATTTGGTTTCTTGCCTCTGGACAATGCATCTGAAATCCCTTTAAGGACTGCACAGAGAAAATCAAAATTATTATTGAAATTAATCATGTTATTGCGATTGCATTTTGCAAAAAAAAGACTGCACCATTTAGCCAGCAATGAACCACTACAGAGACACAATGAATAGGGTGGAACTACTACAAATTCAAAATGATTTATAAGAGCTCAAACATCTAAAGTTATCCACGAAGAAGTTCAAATCATACAAAAGGAATAAAATTTGATAAACGTAAAGAAAGAAATAAGGAAAACACAAATCAATGAACATCACGATCTGTTCACGAATTGGGTAAACCTAAATCATTACTAACAATCAGATACCGAGTAAAGCTTGAGCAATTTGCTTAATCATCGCCTGTTCTAAAAGATCAATCAACAATTTTGTGAGTCCATACATACAAATTCGTTGACATTGGAAATACTTTCAGAATGCTTCCATTTTAGGACCTCATGGCAGATCAAAATGTGAGGGAAAAAGAAGTAAGAAGAAGAACAACTTGGTAATAAAACAGCACACAGAGGACACAGGCAAAGGTAGAAACCTCGAAGGCGTTGAACAGCGTAAAGCTCGAAATCTTCGAGCCGGACCTCAAGTTCCGGCGCCGAGCGGTAAATAGGGAAAGTCGAGACAGTGTTGCCATCGGAGGAAAGCGATGGTTTCCGGCGAGATCCAACGACCTCCATCTGTAAGTTCAATCAATGGACGGAGAGGATGAAGAATAAGCAAACAGTAGCTGATGAGAGATGATAGTAAGGGTTTTCCACTAGAGTTGCAGGTGAAACTTATGGGGAAGAAAAAGGGCGGGAATTGGTTCCCTCCAATATGGTTCTGCTTTGGGCTTTTTAACCCCTCTTTTGGGCCCACTATCGAACTCCATATACATATTGGATATCCATCAATTCAATTTAATCTAATTTTAATGTTCAACACCTAAAAACGTAAAAATCGTCTCAATTATTTTTGTGATACAAGGTGGGCTACTAAGATATTGTTGTAATCGAACCGAACGTAGCCTTACTTGGTCATTTTGAGCTCGTATTCCCTTACATTCAAACACGTTTACATTCAAACATTGTTCTTTTTCGTTTGTTTGTTTTATGAACAAACAATTGTATTCAAACTTGTTTGCTTAATTGTTCTTCCAAAGGGCAAGTTCATTTGTGACCGAATAATATAGAAAACAAACTTTTTAAATATGTTTAATTAACTAAAAAACTATTCATTTGAACTTGTTCGATATTGAAAATAAAAACATAAGATAATATATTATTATATTTTAGATTTTTTTATGAAAAACATCATTTGAATATACAAAAAGATAAATTATAATTAATTATTGTTCGCAAAAATTATCAAAAGATCCCAAACAAGCTCGTGTTCGTTCGATTATTAAACTAACTTAATTTCTATTCCAATTTGGCTTGATTAACAAAATAACGAGCTCTTTTCTAATACCAACGATCTCAAACGAGCTTTTGTTCATGAAAGTTTGTTAACACTTAACAGTACGAGATGCAAAGTCCCCATAACAGAACAATGAAAAAGGTAACAAAAACTGAGGTCCTTTTATCCAATGTTTTCCTCCCTACACTACAATATAATTATATGCCCAACTTTTAGCAGAACTTGAGAAGTTCAACAAGGGCAAATATTTGAAAGGAAAAGGATCTACAAAACTCGGGTAGTCGATCGATATTAACTTAAATGGCGAGACATTGGGGAGAAACCCTAAACAACATATACATACAAACCTGCCCTCTCGACAATTTGTGAACCGAAAAACGTGTTAAACAGTTTTTTTCCGTGTTCACAATCCGAAAACGGCAAGTGCTCTACTTAAACGATTGCATTGCACTGCGGCTCCTCGTGAGAAAGGATGCACTAATTCCAGAGAATGTTCTCCCGAACACGCCAGCAGACGAGTTGTCAGGTTTTGTGTCAGTTTTTGTTTCTTCAGAAGCGTGACTCCCGTTAGGAGAAAGAAGTTGGCCGTTTAGGCTTGAAATCCCGACATCCTCAGATATTCCACCGAGCNAAAAAAAAAAAGAAAAAAAAAAGAAAAAAGAAAAAACACGCAAAGATGAAAGCCAAAAGTGAAAATATAGGCTATGTTTGGTAAGCAAATAAGCTAGCTTATAGCTTATTTGGTTAGCTTATAAACTTCCTGTATTCAAATTAGCTTCGTTTGGTAGGACGAGCTTTCTCGAATTTATCTCATAAGCTTCTTTGAGTAGCTTTTTACATAAGCTCGTTGAAATTTTATCAAAACACTTTTATCATATAAACTAGTTTTTCAGCTATGTCATAAACTATAAGCTTAAGCTTGAAAATCACTTATCAGCTAGTTTTATCGAACATGGCCATAGTGGGTATATAGGGGGTTTCATATTGTTACCTTCAGGCCTGATGGTGAAACTTTACCCTTTGATGAATTTGAAGGCGAGAGTTTGTTTCGAGAAGATCCATTAGCCTTGTTAGAAGGTGATGGTGGCTCGAGTAACATGTCCGGGGGCAAAGACACTGCCTGTGAAGCACAAACGAGTAAAATGGATAACTTACATCAATGGCTATGTATATGTAGGCAACTATATATATTAGTGATATAAATTTTTACCCTTAGAGGAGATACTTGTGGCAATTCAAGAGCAGGCCTAGCAGAACTTGATGCTGTTCCCTGAAAAACCGGTTATAAATCTTAGAAAAAACT